CTTCTGAAGTTCCGAGACCTTGTTATAAATAAGTTTAACTGACTAGAGTATTTGACCTATATTTTGTAGGTATTACATCTCAATACAAATAACCACATTTAAATACTTTGACCAATTAAATAAGAGAGTGAAAAAAWCTAATAATATATCTAATTTAATATTTATATACATACCTAAACAGCCTTCTCCTGCGTCTTGTAACAATTGAGCATTTTCGACAGAAACTAAAGCACGTTTTATTTTAGTATTGCATTGGTCACTCTCACTCCAACATTCTTGTTCTGTGCTGATGATTACTAATCCTTTTTCCTAAAATTATAATTATTATAATTATTTATTCTTTAAATTGCTTGAACCAAATTAATCATATTATTTTGGTTGTGGTTAGTAATAATTGTTTGTTGTAATACTGATTTGATAATTTTTTTCATTGTTCAAAGTTAATTACAAGTAACTTTAAATTAATATTTGTTAACATTGAATAAATTTCACTGGTAGTGACGAAATAATACTGCAGTATAGTAAAAATTACCCAATTTTTAACTAAGAATATAAATCTTATAAAAAAAATTTACCAAAAGAATTTTGGTTATTAAAATATTATTAGTAAAATAATGAAGGAAAAACTAATAATGTAGGCAAAAAAAAAAAATTTAATCAAACATTAGATTATAATGTTAATTTACCTCAATAAGTTTATCACGTTCTTCTAGTTCTTGTTGAAGTGTTATAGATTCTAGTTTTTGAGTAGCCAATAAACGTTTTAATTTTTCGTTTTCCCTACAACTTTCTTTATGTTCTCGCTAAAAATAAGTTAAACAAACAATATTTAAAAAAAAAAATGCTTAATAACTTTAAAATAATTCTAAATACTTTTATATGCATAAGTTCTTCTTCAATATCGGTGTACTTGTCTTTATACAATTCTACCATATATGTGACAGCTGCCTTTTCATTGTCAAGTTGAGCATTTTGTACCATAGCTTTTCGAAACTTTTCTTCTAAGTCTTTTAATTCCATCTAAAAATTTGATTATTAATTATTTCTTGAAATATTTAGAATCACACAACTCAGTCATACCCTAAAATCTCGAAAGTTAGGAGTAGATTCATCAAGAGAATCAACTGAATTACGTCGACTAGATTGGTAACTGTTAGTATTATGTACCGAACTGGCTGCTCTAGGACTGGTACTAGCAGCTACTCGTGATACTCGATTTGCTATAGATCCATCTAAAAGATAAATTTAAATAATATAATAAATATTGTTCAACATACCTAAATATTTAAACAAAGTATTTTATATCTTAATCAAATAATAATTTAATTACAGGAACTTAATCATAAAACTTTGAAGTGTCACTTATCACAAACCAAACAATATGTAATAGAGTATAAAGTGGTACTCAAATAAATAAAAATGAATAACCTTAAAAATTAGTTAGTTAAATACTTATAGAATTGCATATAATAATCTAAATTAAAAATTATTTTCATTTATCTCCTCTTTAATATTCTTTAATTTACTTTAGTGACACATTATTACCAGGGCTCGTAAGTTCATGCATTTCTATGTTTTTTTGCTACATCAAAAAACATGTACATGCTAAGTGAGATACAAATCCGTTTCATAACAATGACAATAAAAATTTAATATTTAATACTGCATATTTTGGGTGTCAAGGCATATAGTTTTTGGAGTTACTAGCCATATTAATAATGTAAATTCATGTGAATTAAGCAAAATCATTTTTCATAAAAGTTTAAAAAAAATTAAATTAATAAACACTTGAATTAATTCTTATTTATTTTTCCAAACATGTTTACAAAATCTTAGTATTTTATAAATTTATTTTTATTTTTGTATGAAACTGCAGAGTTTTATAAGTTAAATTTTTACTACATTTTATAATTCTTAGTATATCAAAAAATGTTTATACATTTTTTTTGTGAATAGTTAAAGATTGTTAATGCATATTTTTCCAGTTTTTAGTGCATAAAAGAATATTTATTTAGTCATTTTTTAGGGCATGAACTTATTAAGAACCCTGATTATTACATTTATTTGAATTATATAAATGTTAATGAAGAAAATTTGTGCAAATATATTTTTGAGAATTATTGATTTAAGTAAGTATGAACTAATTATGAAGAACTTTACATTAAATTTTCAAGGTTAGCTATACATTTCCTAAATATTTAACTACAAAATAATTTGCAATTTTTAGAGAATTTGACACATTTTGACAAAATTGAACTTCAGATGCTTATAAAATAAGTGTATAGTTACGTATCTTAAATATTACGAAATGACTAAAACAAAACTTAAGAGGAACCTTCTATTAACTTAAAGGAGTCCGTAGGCGAAGCTAAGTCACATCTTACCAAAACTAGCATATTCAAATTCAACCCCAACGTCACTTTGGCGTTTGGCAACACTATGGACACACACAAAGTACGGCGTAGCGCTCTTCAATAAATTCATATTGGTAATTAAATGCTTTGGACAATAGAAAAGGCGTGTGAACCACGTGAATCGAATAAACCTGTCTTTAGAGTAATTGATTAATACGACAAAAGGCGCGAAGGTATTTAATTATGTAATTTTACAACCAAGGACTAAGATGTTAAATTAAATTAAAAAATCATTTTTTTGTCTTTGTTTTGGATCATTATAATCTTTAAAAAAAAAAAATTTGTCATTCTTTATGATATTTATGATTTAATTATGTATTATGTTATTAATTATGTTGCCTTGATATTTTATGATATTATGAAAATTGTTTTATTTTATGTTACTATTATGAATAATGTTATGTTACTTATTATGAATAATGTTATGTTTACTTATGCTATTTATGATACTTTATGATGTATTTAAGTGTCCTAAATGAATACGGCGAATGCGATGTCTATTATGACCATGCTGTTCCGTCGCAATACGATTTGTCCGATGGGACAAAATGCAAACTGTTTTGTTTGGTTAGGTTAGATTGTTGCTAATATTTTCCGAAATCCAAACCTAAGTCATATCTAACGTACACGATTAAAAACACGCACAAAGGCTATTCTCTGTWTCGTATAATATAAGTTCTAATTTGGGTAACTATTTGACAAATCAAATAAAAATTGTCCATGAATGAGAAAGTTTTTTCAATATATGGCTCTGGAAAATTGTCTCCCTGTAATTGAACTATATGCAATGAGTAAAATACAAAATATTTKCTCAAAAAAGTTTTCGATGACATCCAATACTTGTTGACTACTTGGTCAAATTTTTTAACTGAAAGCAAATATTAAACTAGTTTTCTTAGAAGAATCTTTCTTAGATTTTGGAACAGGCTGAATATTTTTTTCGGTGTGTTAAGGGTAGAACAACGTATTTCATTGATTTTGGATTATGTAACATCCATTAAACAAAATTTGGAAAACATTTAAGAATAGGAGTATAGTTTAGAATAAAGACAATGAATTGTGCCTATATTTGTAGTATTTACTATTTAGTAACAATATTCGTTCAGCAACATTAAATGTACTGTTAAAAGTAGCATAGATACCTACAAAATCTGGTATACCTAACGTGAGTTAGAAAATACCCTATGCCTAATAAGAACAGCATACATACAGAGAATGATATGAAAGTTTATTTTTTACTTGCCTGCTGCATGCATGTCAAAAGCTTTGTCTGCATTTTCTTCGGCTTCTTTTTGTTGCCGTTCAATCTCTCGCATACGAATTTCTCTAGCTTCAGCACGAGCTTGACGTCTTGCAGCTAGACGAGCTTCCGCCTGAAACAAAATAAAAATATTTAAATTAAAAAATCTTTAATATTTTAAATATTTGCGATAAACAGTTTAACTATATGAATATCACATCACGTACTTCCTAAAATATATGTGCAGTACTTATACACTGTTAGTAAACATAAAAAACGAACAAAATGTAAACGTAAAATAAAATAACTAGTTTTAAAGTCTAACATCAATATTAGAATTTACTATCCAAGTAACCAGCAAGTTAATCATAATTATACTAATACGTACTTTATTATTACGCTTGTCCAGAAAAGTTACAATTCCTCCAGCTTCAGAATCACCATTGGAATTATAGTCATGACTAGAGCCATTAGTTTGTACCCTTATTTTTTCCCTAAGTGGACTAGTTAGACGATCATTTAAAATATTATCTGATAGCTCATCGAAATCATTGATATCAGCAATAGAATATCCACAATAACGTTCCTCATCATTTGACGAAGAATAAGTATAATTTGTATTAGCATTGCAGCATACTGAACGAATTGCATCAGTATTAATAGTGTCACATACTGAATTTAGAGCGGCATTATTATTAACACATATGTGACAAGAATATGATTCATTATTATCTAGTATCAATTGAGACGATTGAAGAACATTAGAATATTCATATGGAGTCTCGTTGTTTAAGATATTCACCACCGCATCCCTATCGTCATTAATACTGTCAGAGTTAATGAGTGATGAGGACTCTTTATTTGATGCAAACGTAGAATTAGATGTATTAAGTTCAATAGGCACATTGACAAGTAATTTAGTATCTAATGGTTGATCATTTAAACTATCCTGAGTTTGATTTATATATACATGCGTAATATTCATGTTAAATTCTCAATTTGATGTATCTTTAGCTAAATAAATAATAAACTAACAATTAAGTATAAATTAAAATTTTAATTTTAATTAAGAGCAAAAAAAAAAAACAATAATAATATTAAATATAATTATTATTCCGTGATATCATAGTAAGTTCATTTAAGTACTCCATCAAAACAAAATATAAGTACTAACATAATACAAGTATACTTAATATATTGTATAGCTTACCACATAATTGATATTATAAAATAGGATAAATGAGTAAAGGTAGAAGAATGAAGATATAGCCAAAGCCAGATAAACATTTTTTTTTTTTTTTTTAGATGCTATAAAACAGAAACGTATTTTGTTTTTATTGGATTTTTCGCAAAAACGATTTTGCTGAAAATAAAATAAAGTCAAAAGTTTCACGACATATATGATGGTACATCGAAAATTGGAAGCACATATAAATGATGAAAATATTCATATGGAACCGTACTTTTCAGGTAGATAATTATTCGGACTAGATTTCTTTTAGTGAAAGATACTTTAAAAGAATGGTATAATAATGGAATGATATTTTTCTAAACAGCAGAATTAACAAAGGAAAATACAAAACAGTAAAATAATAACGCGGAACCGTATTTTACAGTAATAGTATAAATTAGGAAAATATCGCTTAGGACTGTATAAATCTGTACAACATTTTTGAGTACATTATCCACGCGGATCCGTATTAATCGAACATTATATTAATAGAAAAAATAAAGCATATAGGACTGGATAGGACAGGACGGTTGTTTACCGGAAAATGTTCACGAGGTAAAATATTTAAAAAAAATATATTAATTTATTCTACTATTCCCGAAAAATACGATTTCGCATTATAATTTTACTGTTCTATATAGAAAAATATCATTCTGAGACTATAATATTAATCTTTGAAAATATCCTTCCTTTATTATATCATTTCCTTGATGTACAGTTTATTAAAATAACAATTCTAGATTTTTTTCATGTTTCATATTTTCCCAATTTATGTACCTAGTCCTTCCAAATAATTAACTTATTACGTATAATTTTATTCGTCATCACAAGAGATCGAAGGTTATAGGACCTAAAAAGATAAAATATACATGTAACTATGCACGGAAAATTGTACATGATAAAAAATGTAATATAAGAAATATGAGTATTACTCGCAAAACTTGCATAGTGCATACAATTTAAAATACCATAAAAATACCAGAGTACAAACAAAGGCAATGTTTTTAACTTTAAGTTTTATAATAGATCGATATTCGAATAACTTTTATATCAAAGCTAATGTTCAGCCAAAACGCAATTTGGTACTTATGTTGCGTGCGTCCATCAGAGAGAAAATAAATATGTATATATGTGTATAGTGGAGATAGTTAGTTAACATCCTATTAAAAGAAAAGAATTCACTTATTTTAGTAAAGGTGTTTATAGTTAACTGACCATTAAAATATTGTACATTTTAATTGTATTTTACATTTTATAACTAATAATTGGGTTGCCAGATTTCGAACTTCAACAAAATGAAAGAATATTTAGTCGATGATACACTTCAAACTTTAAAAAAATATATAAGAAATACCTTGAATTATACAGCTATAGATAACAGATATATCTATATCATACCATAAGTATGATCTTTATTTTGGTGTGAGGTGAGTTAATATTGATATTGGTTTTCTAAAATATAATAAGTTATGGGCAATTGAAAGTTTTAATAAAGTAATAATATTTAACTATTATTATATCTACTTAATATCCGTGTTCATGTTCTTCTCGACCGTCAATAAAATAGTATAATTTATTATTCTTATCAATAAATGTTAGTTGGTTACCCCTTTACCAGTGCTCAGTACCTAATCGTTTTAAGTATAGTTAGATACATAAGGATACCTATGCATTATAATAATATTAAAAATAAAAGCACTGCATTTTTTTTTATTCCAATTTAAACGAATAGATTAAGTAGGTAATATCAAAAGCTACATTTATATATATATTTTTATATAGGTATATTTAATATTTAATATTTGTTCGATAGGGAAAAATTCAAAGTGAAACAGATCAATGTTATCTTTAATATTGGTAATATACTATTACTACTACAATAGTACTACTACCAATACTAATACTACTACTATTACTAGGTACTGCTATTACTACTACTACTACTTCTAATATAACAATAATTTTATCTACCATAAATAATTTTCAAAGATATTTTTGTGACCTTAATATTTGTATACCAATTGTTTCCTATTATGTACGTTTACAGACTACAAAACAGAAAAATCTAATAAATATTCAAACAATTTATTGGTTAGGTATTAGCTATTAGTAGAAAAACCAGTTGGTGATGTCATAAACTTAATTACCACTGGCAGAATGTGATTTACTCACAAATATACATTCACTATCGTAGTACTAGTACCTATCGTAACATTTTTATACACGTATATATGGTTATGTTATAGATACCAAATAACAATTCATTAAATTCAAAAATCAGAAGCTCGGCTATGTCAACTATGTATTTAAACAATTAATATATATCAAATATTTAAACACGTATATTAAAATAATACAACATGCATCAAAATATAATAATTTATTCAAGACATCAGCTGTTTGCAGTGGTCTTGGTCTCACACTTAGTGCACCTTTAATACGTTGAGCACTTGAGCATATTAGTCATTTAGTTTTATTATAGATTTTTATTGGTACATTATTATATTAGTTTATTAAGAACATAAGTAATTAAATAGCATAGTGTACACCGTATATTTACCGATAAATAATATACGGATGAATACAAACTATATTTACTTATCGATGCAACAATGTGCAGTTTTTTAAGTTTAATATACAAGAACAATTTAATACGGCAGCTAAATAATAAATATTTTTTAAAATTTGAAATTATTAATTCATTCCAAGCCTCCAAGGCATACTGTATGGTCTATATTTATATTGATTTACTGTAACTAAAAAATATGGGTGTGGCGTCCTCTTAATTTCGTGCATATGAATGTAACTAGGATAAATACCAAAGAAATATTGTACTTTTATATTTTTGCATAATACAAATTTATTATGTATGATGGTTAAGTGGATCGCTTATAAATTGTGTTAGTACGTGACTATAATAGATTTTATACGTTCGCGAGTCAGAAAAAATTAAAAATTCTAATTTAGACAAACTAAAAAAATAAGTCATATCTTGAATTTCAAAGTTCAAAGTATTCTTAAGTTATGAGTTACTTTTTACGTAGGTAACTAAATGATAAATTGTATGCACAACGAATATTTATAACTTTAAACACATAAATAGTATAATACCTATGCCTCGAAATAATGACGCGTCTCACATCCGATAATTGAATAGTCAAATATACGAAAGGAAAAACCTTTAGCAGGTACATTACTCATAGATAATAGTAGGTAGCAGTAAACCACAGCCCACAAGTAAAAGTAATATTAATCGTATACAAGTAAGTCACTGCAACGCCATTCAAAATAAATGAAAATTAATAACTGATCGAGATACAGTTTATATTTAATGGTTATAAGTTTATAACATATTTATTCAAGATTAAAGTATAATTTAACACAAACTAGGTAACCACCAATCCACCATCACTATTTTCTGTTCAAAATTTGGAAATTATTGCTTCTGAAAATAAGGCAACTCGCTGAAAAGTTATCTTCGTAGTATATTTTTCAATCTAATTTTTATAGGTAGCTACCAAGACTATAATAATAGGGAGAGAGTCTATACTTATTTTATACCTACTAACTTTCAGTTTAAGTACTTTAATTCGTAAGTAAGAATGCAATATATACCTACATTTATTGCCATAAAAAACTTTTTGAGCTTTAGATAGACATTTTTATAATTGTAACTTGTTAAAATAAATATTTGGTTAAACTGTATGTAGCTTACAATAATTTAATTGAATAAATAATTTGAATTCAAATACACAGTTGTTATAAACAACGTAGCAATACGCATTTGAAGAACAGTAAAGTTGTAGTTGTACCTACTCTTAGTATGCCTACATAAATAAGTAATCTTATTTTCAAAACAAATTATATGAACTATATTTCTTATTAATTGTTATATTAACAAGATAAAATATATACTACTTATAGTACTAATGTGTTTGGAATTTTTTCACTTAGGCCACCATTAGCGTCGAAACGAGTCAGAATTAAAATAAACGTAATCAAACATACCTAAGCAATATGTATTACATCATAACAATTAATTTTAACGGCTTATACATACGAGTAAAATTCATAACATATGCACAATTACTCTATAGGTATACAGGTACAGTAAATTATTAAAAACGTAACGGGTTTTTTAAAAGGTATTGGATGTAGAAAAAAAAAACAAAAAAATCCATTGTATATTATAGTACATTAAATTGACGTTCATATTGTTGTAGTCAAATAAATTAATGAATAAACAATTATCATGATTAAAAATGATTAAAAATGAAAAAAAAATGAAAAAAAAACATAAAATATACTAAATACTATACCTAAGTTACTTTCATATGCTTACAGATAATTCTTACTGAATTTATTTATCACGAGATAAAATAAAAATGATATTAATTTTTTTTTGTTATAACGACATTCTTTATTTTATAATATTATAGACTTATAATCGACAAAACAAATTGAATTATGCAAATATTTTGAAATAAAAACGGTTTATCTTGTGAATCAAGATGATTGATAAATTTAAGTTCGCGATAAGTTCTATTAAACAACAACTGTATACAAAGCTAAGTACTGTATACATAATAAAAAGCAATACAAACATACATTTTAWACAAAGTGTATAAAATAAAATGTATTTCTGAGAAATGCATAGCGATATGTAGATATGTATGAGTGTATGACGTACATATTTAACTACATATATGTTAACATATGTATGTCGACTTGTATATAAGTATGTATATACCTATTATACCTATATGTTTGTATAACGTATATTGACAAAAATTAAAAAATTAAAAATAAGAACTCAGTATTTTAAACATCAAAAGTTATTTCTTTGAAATATTTTTTATCGGGTTAGAAATGTATAGGTACGAACACTTATACGAAGAAATAAAAAATAATAGTATTTCAAGTTCTCATGCAGGTACACAGTCACATACCTTATATTGATTTGATATCTTATCGGTTTATTACATATATATATATTATATACATCGTTAGGAGGGGTTTTTTTTTGAACAAAAAAAAAAAAACTAGTAATGAGTAATAATAATTGATAATGGACAAGTCTACACTAAAAGTAATTTTTCATAAAAACAAACGAAAAATAGTTATTGTGAGAACGATCAGAGAATTTCTCGAAAAAGTCACCACATATATTATACTATAAAATTGTGATATATCCTCAACTAATGTTCAATATACAGCTAGTAAGGATGAATTTTTTAGA